ATGTTAGATGTCATAACCATGCATACAAAATAAATAATTAACTCATGATAATGCATGCAAAATAATTATTATTATTCGTTCAAACACTAATTATAATAATGCATGCAAGGCAATTCATTAATAAAAACACATGCAGAACAAACAAACTATCAATAATAATGCATGCAAAACATATAAACATGTAAACATATAAACATATAATAAATTATAATGCATGCAAGAGAAATAAACACGCAATAAATAATAATGCATCCATACAAAACAAACAAATAATAAATAGAAACGCATGCACACAAAACAAACAAACTATAAATCATAATGCATGCATACAAAACAAACAAGCAATAAATAATAATGCATGCATACAAAGCAAACAAATAATAAATAGAAATGCATGCAAGAGAAATAAACAAGTACTAAATAGAAATGCATGCAAGAGAAATAAACAAATAATAAATAGAAATGCATGCAAGAGAAATATTTTTGCGTATTACCCTCGCATCTTCTGCATCAACGGCGCGGTCGCTGTCTTTCTCGCTTTTGTTGCCTACCAAAATTTTAACAGTATTTTCTGTTGCATATCTACACACAAGCAGCAGCAGCAGAAGATGCAGCAGCAGCAGAAGATGCAGCAGCAGCAGATGCGCGCAAGTCCTTCACCGACGGGCACTGGCTAGTTAGCTAGCTAGCTACCTAGTCAGTGTAGCTAGCTACACTGGCTAGCTAGCTAGCTACACGGAGATTAGCTCTCTAAGCAGTCTGAGCCTGTCAGTCCGCCGAGATAGCTAGCTGGCTGTGTGGCTAGCTAGCTACATCCGTGCTAAGCTCGGCAGTAAGCTGAGTGGTTAGCTAGGTAAATAGCTAGCTAGCTCCCGATCTATGTATGCTGCAATGTATCTATTTAGCTATCCAGCTAGCAATCTATCTATCTATCTATCTAGCTAGCTAGCTAGTTATGCGTTGAAAGATGGATAAGAAGTACCTGTTAACTTCAGCTAGCCACTCATCAACATGAGCAAAAGAATCTGCTTCTGTAATATCGTAAACTAAGACGATGCCGTCTGCCCCTCGATAATAAGCGCTGGTAATCGTGCGAAAGCGCTCTTGTCCTGCGGTATCCCACTGACATAAACAAACAAACAAACAAACAAACAAACAGACAGACAGACAGACAGACAGATAAAATATTATTTCTTTGTTTGTTTGTTTGTTTGTTTGTTTGTTTGTTTGTTTGATTTGCTTTGTTTTGTTTGTTTTGTTTGTTTTGTTTGTTTTGTTTGATTAGTTTAGTTTGGTTGTTTTTGTTTGGTTATTTAGTTAGTTAGTTTGTTGAAGGAAATAAAGATATAAATAAACATAAGGAGACAAATAAATAAACAGAGACAGACAAATAATAATAAACAACAAATAAATAAGCAAATGAACAAATAAATAAATAAATAAAAACAAACAAACAAATAAACAAAGAGAGAGAGAGAGAGGAGCAAACAAAACATCAAACAAAGACACAGACAAACAAAAAAAAATAAAAATATAACAAAATAAATAGACAAACAAACTGAGTAAATAAATAAATAGGTAAACATATAAATAAATAAATAAATAAATATGTTAATGCGTTTGTCTTACAATTTGAAGCTTCACGACTTTGCCGCCAACATTTATCGTTCTAAACCTCTAAACACAAAACACAAACACAGCAAATAAATAAATATATATATATATATTTATATTTATTTATTTAAATATATACCTAACATATACATATATGCATAATAATACTGCTGTCTTCTTCCTGTGCATGTATATATATATGTATATACATATATATATATATATATACACCTATATATGTACATATATATATATATATAATATAGCTGGTATCTTTTCCTGTATGTACATATATATACTCATGCGTATATATACATGCAACATATATATATATATATGCATATATATATATACATATATATATGTACATATATAT